GCAGCAACACACTAATTGTTGGAAATACTGCAGGATATGGTGATATGTACTGATTGTATTACTGACATTCTAATGTGTACTGATATGTCTTTTGATCTGTAGATGGCGCTGGAGTGCAATGTTAGTCTCTCTATATATGCATTATTATTATTATATTATTATACAGGATTTATATAGCGACAACAGTTTGCGCAGCACTTTACAATATAAGGAAGACATTACAATCACCATACAATTCAAGACAAGATGGTAAGGAGGGCCCTGCCCATGAGGGCTTAGGGCTTGTTCACACCAAGCGCGGAGCAGATCCAGAGCAGAGCAGGTGCAGACCGGATCAAAACTGCATCCAATGTATTCCTATGGTATTTTGACCTCCAGTTCACATCGCAGCGTGCGGATCCCGACCAGATCCAGAGCAGGTGAAAAAACTGCGGCAAGCCCTATTTTACCTGCTCTGGATCTGCTCTGGAACGCATCAAAAACGCATGCAAAACGCAAAACGCATCAAAAACGCATGCAAGTGCCTGAAAGCCCATGTTAAACTTAAAATTTTTTTTTTTAAACCAAAATCGGCCCTGAACGCATCAAAAACGCGGTAAAAACGCATAAAAAACGCGGCACAACACACTGCACTGCGTGTGCAGAAACCTGACCGGATCTGCTCTGCATTTGGTGTGAACAAGGCCTTACAATCTAAAAATGCATGCTGATCTATGATACACAGGAAGTGTTTCTATCTATGTGTTTCCTGCATAATGCTGTATTCACATGTAATGTCCTTCCAAGCAAGTAAAACTTAAAGTGACATTAAACCCTCAGATTTTTTAACATAAAACAATACTGTAATGTGCGCCTTACTGTAATCCATGGTTGTTTCCCTTCTCTTTGCTGCTCTTCCTTTTAAGTCTGTATCTGTTCTCATGCTGGGCAGAACTTCTGTTTTGCAGCAGACTGCCTTGTCTCAGGGATGGATACATGGTGTCTGTGTATACGTTTCTATAGGCTTGTAACCTGAGCCAGCACTACAGGAAGAGGCACTCAGCTGCAAAAGGAAGTTCTCCCCAAGCATGAGAAGACATGAGGATTTAAAAGGAAGAGCAGCAAAGAGAAGGGAAACAACCATGGATTACAGTAAGGCACACATTACAGTATTGGTTTATGTTAAAAAATCTGAGGGATTAATGTCACTTTAATTCAGCATTCCTCAAACACTATTCAAGGTTATAGGGACCAGACTGGCTCAGAATGTTGACTCTCTCACTCATAGTCTGAGTGCTGTTGTTTAGTATATTACAGGAAGTCAACATAAAGGGGGGCATTTATCAAAACTGGAGCAGACAAAATCTGGAGCAGCTGTGCATGGACAACCAATCAGCTTCTCTCTTCAGTTTGTTCAGTTAAGATTTGAAAATGAAAGAGAGAAGCTGATTGGTTGCCATGCACAGCTGCTCCTGCTGCAGTTTTGATAAATTCCGCTCAAAGACTCATTTCAAGAAATGTATATGAGCTGTAGTTAAAAATATTAGAGGGTGGGTTTTTATCTCACAGTATGTCTCTCCTCATTGCTTTATGAATTGCGGGTAGAATAATCTATTATGTGCTGAAATTTGTGTTCTTTCACATGATAAAATACATATGTGACCACTTTTTGGCTTCAACTAGCCTCTATATACAATATAATACCTGCAGTAAGTGTACACTGAGAATCAGTACTGTAAGCCTACATTGCTAGCCATGGCCAGTCTACAGCCTTCTAGCTCTGGCTTATGGATTCACTGTACTCTGCCTGCATCAGACCTGCAGGTAACTGTGTATAACAATTCTTTTCACTGAGACTGCATTGGGGTTCTGTGGGAGAGGTTTAGGATCTGTTGGTACAGTTTTGGTGCTGTCACCAGAAGGTAAATATACTGCATGTTGGCTTCACCAGAACACAAGTAAATGCACGCCCTCCACAAATTAGGGTACTGCAAGCCCTATCCTGCCCTGCCCTAAAGAAACCTCTCAGCATACCCTGCCAGCTAAGCTTCTAGAAAATCCAGGTCATATTCAATAAAGAGGTCTTATTCCTAAGAGCAATAACCCAGAATCCTTCTTATACTGGTACAACTTTAAAAGAGACAATTCAGATTGTATACTATAGGTTGTTACACTTACACATTAGAACCTAAAAATGACATCTTTTTATTGAACATTCTTAATTGTATCCAAATAATGAGCTAATGATGGGACTTTCCTTCCTGCTCCTCCTTACTTACCTATGACTTTATTCTAGTCTCTTCTTCCTCGCTTTTGAATGTCTTCTAATGTGATCAAATGATCTAACTTTAATGGCCAACTTTATGGGCAGAAATCAAAAGAAAAGATGTAAATGTATAGGAAGGTTCCGGTAAGTAAATGCCTGTTTGTAGTCATGTATGCATAGGTGAAAGTGCACGTAAGTGTTCATATTCACCCGCTCTGCATTCTTGTCATGACCAGGCTATTGGTAAAATGACCACTGCCATTTGAGGGTGGTCACCTAACAAATCAATGTTGCCTTCTCGTAAAAATATGGCTCCTTTTGCCTATTGCTAAGAAACAGACATTAGAGCAGCACTGCACTCAGGCTCCAATGCTGGAAGGTTAATTGGCTCCTTCTACATTGGTCCCGTGTGAGTTAGGGATCTTAGATTGTAAGCTCCTTGAGGGCAGGGACTGATGTAAATGTGCAGCTATCTAAAGAGTTGCTTAAATTGTCAGCACTATATAAATACAAATAATAAATAAATACATTACAGAAAGAAGGAAACAGCATAGTGACATGTGTCTTATGATTTGATAAGTGTGCCTCTCCTTCACAGGTCAATCAATAGGTTGGAAGTGGGCCATTCACCAACTGTAGTGAAGAAGAGTGATGTCACTGACCCTGTGTGACAAAGTTGACTGGGTCACATGATTAGCTGAGCAGAATTAAAAATCTACTCACATATATGTATTTCAACTATGTATTTAGTTTGGAGCTCATATTTAAAACCCAACTGTTTTTGTTTGTCGTTTTGAAAGAGTAAAAACTTCTGTTAAGTTTTTTTGCTGCCCCAGCAGTTATTTTTTCCACCACAAAATGTTCTCATGGCCAGCACCTCTGAGCAAGGCTTTCACGGACCTGACTCCAGCCTGTGACCGGTCAGTAAAGATGAAGCAGCACAATGATGAACTCATCTCTCTGTTACTATGCTATCTCCTCCTATAAGCATGTCCCTTGTGCTACTTCTCTCGCCCTGACTCTGACCTCTGCTGTACAGAGACTGTAAAAGGCTGACTTCAGGTCAAATTCAGGTACTTTACACTGCTTGTATTAAAAAAAACCCATTGAATGACGTATTAATACAGAACAGCATTAGTTGGTGTCTTTTATATCTGCCTAGAACCTAGCTGAGTGGACTTTCCAATTTCAGCCCCGTGGCAATGTTTTTTGAATAGTACTAGCAATTCACTTGCTGCCTAGAGTTTTTAAAAATTCTGTATTACAGCACTCGCAAAGCCACACAATACTGCGTCCTGCACTAATAGAGATCCTCATACATAATTAACTCTCCGCACCTCCAAAGACCTCCTGCTCTCCAGCTTCCTCATCAATTCCTTCCTTGCTCGCCTCTGGGACTTCTCTGGAGTAGGGACCTGCGGTCAGGGGAGGCAGGTAAGACAGAGCCTCACCTAGTTTTATGAAGAAAAAAGGTGTCAGATTCAAGTCTGAAGCTGACAGCTTTTTCTCCATTCAGATCAGCTCGTAACAGGTTACACGGCAGGGAAATCCTCCCCACTGTATAACCTGTCATGTCATCCAGCTTTTGACAGGTAGTTAGGTTACACAGCAGCAGGCTTCCCCACTGCTTGTGTAACCTAACTTGGTGAGACAAGAGCTGTCACAGCCTCTACTCTGTGTTAGAGGCGTGAGCTCTGTGGATGGCTTGGACCAATGGCAAGCGCCATTGGTCCAAGCTGTCCAATAAAAAAAAACAACAACACAGAGGACATCACTCTCGATGCCTCAGCAGTGACTCCCCAGTGACGAGCAAGTGAGGGACAGGGAGGCTCCTCCCTATCTCCTCCTCACACAGCTTGGTAACCGAGCTGTGGGCGGGGCTTCGGCGGGGTGGACAAGGAGCACCGGCGGGACGGGGGCGGAGCTTTGGCTGGCTAGGGGATGCCTCACCCAGCACAGAAGGCACAGCACGTCACTGCTCTAGAGTCTCTCACATCCTTTCGAACACCCTACCCCAATTGGTCCGTCTGTCTCCTTGTCTGTCTGCCTTTAGGTGATCCCTAAAGACTTATTAGGGAAGCCTATCCCACCTCAATCTAACCACTGAACTATGTCTTCCTTATATTGTAAAGCGTTGCGTAATTTGTTGGCGCTATATCAGTCCTGGATAATAATAATAATGATAATAATAATAACTCAATATACAAATAATGTTTAAGAAATGCTTTTATTTTGATTTCTTTTTTTCTTTTTTTTACATAAAAAGCCCTTTATTTTGGTCAGGGATCTGTTAAATGCTCTCTTGATACAAGGACCCTGCAGGAGGTGACACACTCCTTTCTTTTATAACAACATGCGATGCGTTTCACTGTAGATTGCAGGTGTTTAATCCTGGCAGCATGTCACTGTCATATCGCATTCCTATTACTGCAGACTTTCAGCCTGACATAGAGAGGAGAGATTTGCCCTTGTGTGTTCAGCAGTCCGGAGCTCAGTGATAAATCCCAGATTAGGCTAAACTTCCTGCAGTTCAGTAATTATAGACTTAAGTGGCAAGCGCTGGGGTTACATGTATAATTTATACATTTTGAGGAAAATGAAAAGAAATATAAAAAATAATAAAGGAAAGTCTTTCAATCACCGCAAGAATGCACAGAAGAGTTATATGATAGCGCTTTCAACTATAAACAACATAACATGAAACAAAGTTCCCGTGGTTAGCGACATTAGAGGATAAAGTGTCGTGATCTTCTCAGGAAGCTCTGTGAGTGCAGATACGATTTTTTTCTGTTTTTTCATTACTTTTTTTGCGTGGAGAACTCTCTGGTTGTTTTCTTTAGAACTCCGCATTGGTTTTACATTATGATTTCTAAGAAATTCATATCAGGTGATGTTCTTCAACATTTGTTCTTCAAAAACCAGTGGATGTGGATACTAAGAGAGAAACATGCAAAGTTATTTAATATGAAGTACCAATTATACAAATATAGCACTATAACCATGAATATAATTCTGCAACCAGTGACCTTCTAGATATCATAGGAAAACTTAGGTGCTTAAAAATTAGGTATAGAAGCATGTAGATCACATCAGTGTTTTCAAATAGTGGTAGGAGAGTCATCTACAACACCAGGAGTGAAGTCATTAATTTTCTTTTCTGACTGACAACAGCAAGTTGTTGCCTGGAAAGCAGCATCAGAGTCAGAGCAGGGAACTCTATAGCTGTCTTGCAAATGCGATGTACCTTCATTCACTATTAGGCTGGGTTCACACCTAGGCGTATCGAATATGCACGTTTGTAGCGCGTTTCGTGACACGCGTTTTTACCACGGTTTGCTGTAAAAACGTGCGACAAACGCGTGTTTCCGAGGGCTACTTGGCTGTATCCCAATGGAAACACGCGACAAAAACGCCCCCAAAGAAGCTCCTGTACTTCTTTGGGCATAGGGCGTTTTGTAGCGCGTTCATACGGCCTGTAATACGCCCAGGTGTGAACCATACCCATAGGAAATAATGGGATTTCGGAGCGTTTTGCAGAGCGTTCGAACGCGCTACAAAACGCCTTAGTGCTGCCTGTCTCTACTGCAACCATGGACAAGGCTTCTGAAGGCTACTAGTTCTGCCTCTGTCTTTAGATATCAGGGAATGCTATGCTGGGAATTGTAGTTCCCGATACTGAATCTCGCAGCATGCTAAGACTTGCAGTAGTGCATTCACAAAATCATAGGGGGAATTCAAAACAGGCTTTATGCCACTTTTCTTGGAGTATGAACCTTTAAATGGTCCAAACTGAAAAAAGGCCAGTTGTCTGTGTAGCAGACAACATCATTACAACCAGTGATTGAGACTATGGGCAGAACCTGATGGAGATGACGAGGAACTAGTTCCCCATCAGGTCAGCTCTGCTAGTGATGGCAGTGGGCAGGCAGATTCCAAAGCCAATAGCAGGATGTCTATTGGCTATGGAATCTGCTCACTGCCTGTTATCAATCACAAGGGGAACGGACCTGATGGGGAACTAGTTCCTCAGTAACCCCATCAGGCTCTGCCCACCTATTAGTAAAACTCCTCTCCCACTGTGCAAATAGGAGACAGGTGCAGCAGCCGTGGGACGTGATAAGGATGGAATTGCCTGCTATAGACACTCAGGCCTCAGTGTGCCTCAGCACCACAAATGGCAGTGCTTGACCCAAATTTATGAACCTGTTTCCAAAAGGTAAATAAATCTGGGGTAAGCACCAACATGTTTCTTATTGGATGCACCTTGGAATTCTAAAGCATGTCATAGATAGTGTTCTTTGCTGTGCCGACCAATGCTATGTGTAAACAGCATCTGATCAAGACAGTGCTATGTACATTTCCGCTGGAGCACACAGAACAGACACTTCCAGTCTGCGGTTAACCTTACCACAGCTCCTACTGCCTGAAGTTGTCAGTGCAATCAGCATATTCATGTTCCAACTACACTGAGGATGTATACAACTTGTGCTATGCTTGGTCCAAAATATTTAATCTTGGATGCCTGCACAATTGACAGTTTTCATTAAAGCAAAACTAAAAGGGCCAAAAAAATAGCAAATGGGAATCAGACTCTATTTTCAAAAAGGGTTTATTTTATCTCTGGTTGTCTGCAACATATTACTATATATTTCATTTAAAGCTGGTCAGGTTCAAAAATTACATATGGCTCTCCACCCCCTGCCCTGTATTTTTAGGATATAATGGTCATTTAGCCTAGGGAGGAACAGGCCTGCAGTATTCTCCCCCACCATGAGCCACTCTTCCCTTGTCGTGCCATCTTCCATCCTGTCAAAGTCATCATGTACGATGCAGGATTAGTGGCCACTATTGGCCCTGCTTTGTAATGAATAAAATCAAAGGCCCATCTACCTTGTGGGTTGGGAGCGGTGTGAGGAATAAGGTATTTCCTTCTACGTATTACATCCTCCTAGACTCAAAGAACATTATACCCTATATATATGGGGGAGGGGCACACATGGTCTGTTTTTTACCTGATTTCAGCTTTAAGGTCTATAATTGAATTAATGTGACTTGTTCTCTTGTGCATGCAGTGCAAAGCTAAATGGTCACTTAACTTAACCAAGCAACTAGTGCCCCCGTCAATTACATTTTTACTGGCTGGTCTTCCATTTTTTCATTACTGGAGTGGCTTTAACATGTTCAAAGTTGCTAACCTATAATGTGCATGCAGAGCCGGAACTCAGATGTTACTGGCTGCAAGGGGAAGGGACAGCCAGGAAACTATAACTTTCGGAAGTTTGTCAGAAATTTCTGAGACAAGTTGAGTCAGGCTTACAAAGTCTCTGTGCATGTAGGTAAAATCTAACACATAGCCTTACAGTGAGAAACAGGAGCAGGGAAGATATTAGTTTACCTTTCATAAGATAAGGAAAAAATATGCAGAAAATACAAAAACTCATAGCAACAAATCATATTTTACTGAGTAGATTACAGTAAACGGAAATGTAATTGGCTACTAGTGAATACTTCACTGCATAAAGACTTTGATGATATATTTATGGGATAATAAACTTACTTGAGCTAGAATTCAGGCTTCCATACTGTAATCCTCCTGACAAGCTGCCTCCATATCCGAAACCTCCGCTGCCGCCGCCGCCACCCAGGCTTAGTGAACTGCTGAGACCGCCTCCAAGGCCACCACCGAGGCCAAGGCCACTTCCAAGGCCACCTCCAAGGCCACCTCCATAGCCACCTCCATAGCCACCTCCATAGCCACCTCCGAAGCCACCTCCGAAGCCACCGCCAAGTCCTCCTCCGAGACCACCTCCTAGTCCTCCACCATATCCAGCTCCACCGCCACCACCACCAGCTGCTCCGCTAATGCTAGCTTTGGACATCAGTACTGTGATGCCGCTTCCAGAGTTCAGTCTAGACAAAATAAGACAGAATAAAAATATGTTACCTTAAGCATTGTACTTAAATTCGTCTGAGATAGGAGGATGCCAGGTGCATTTAGGAATATGGAAATCTATTGCGCCTACACAGGGTATATCCGCTAAAATTACCTATAAACCTTCTTTATAATAACATCCATTCACCCCCTGCATATCAGTAAACCTTTCAAATCACTCAGTCGATAGGTGTGCATGTGATGGTTGCTGATATGGGAAAGCAAGTACAGGTGTGGTTGACCCAAAATTCCGCAGTTTCCCTCTATATATATGCCATGTTATATTATTGCTTCTTGGTGAGGAAGGGGGAGATCTCGCAGCTGTAAAATTTTACTTCAGACTCCCTAGAGAGATCATAGTATTGGACATCATGATGGTATAGCAGACATAAAAATAACACTGTATAGAGCTTATGGAAATTAATGCGTTTGTTCTGGGCAATGAAGCAAATGATGTTATTTTCCAAACAAAAGCATTTATCGAAACAGCAGAAATTAGGGTAATTAGGCGTTGTGGATCCCAACGCTACCGAAGATGAAGCCGTGTACAGAAGGCCTGTCTCTTTGTGCATGAAAAGCAGCGCTGAGCATCATTGTCCTAGATAAGGGAGCCACGTGCCACCCTTATAAACTGGAATGTGTGCTTCAAACTTGGAGCAGTCAAATTATAAAAGAAAGAGGTCAAAAAGATATAAACATACTTAGCAGTTACATCCGACGCAAATCAAAACAAGCCTAGAATTTAGCAGGTGGCTCTATTATTGTCTGTGGACATACATGACCCCTACTTTTTTTTAGCCTAATTGAATATTTCAGTTTCTGGAAGATGATGGAAAGCTGTTTTGGATATCTTTTGGGGACACTTTTAATATAAGATGACACTTTTCTTATAATATGCTTGCTTGAATTCCCATGGTGAGGGGAAGGGGAGCTACACTGTTACTGTTGAATTGTTTTTTTATTTTATTTTTTTATTTTATTTTTAACACAGAAACATGGGCGAGAACATCCAGAACTCCCAGTCAACAGGATCAGAGTTTAGATGTATGGTCCCTGCATTAAAGAAGTCAAGGGCCTATAAAAATAAAATATTAGTGTTTAGGTGGACTAGTTTGTGTCCGGATGGCTCTCTCCTGTATCCTACAGAAATTTATTTACCCCATCAGAGGAGCTACATTAAGCTGGCAACTCTGTCACAATCAGAATTCCCACAACCAAGACTGTTCAGTTTTTGATCAAAGAGGAAAGCCTCTTATAAACCAAACCTGTGATCTATCATACAAAGGAAAGAAACAGGTTTACAAATGCCCCCTTTCCCAGCAACACATAATCACCTTTCTTTTGCCCCATACGGCTCCATTTGGCAACCAAATTCAAGGAAAGCAAGCCTTGTACAGTACAGTATATATACACTGAGTGGCCAGATTATTATGACCACCTGACGTTTGTAGGCAAATTAGCTGTAATTAGCTATAATTTCGCGCTGAAGTTGCTAGAGGGCCAGGCCATTATAAATAGGGAAGCAGGTTGTTTACCACGATTTAACAGCCTTTAAACGTGGGATGATTGTTGGCGCTCGGAGCCATGGAGCGAGTATCAGCAAAACAGCAGAATTTGTTAAATGTTCAAGAGCAGCTGTTGTTAAAGTGTTTAAAGACTGGACTGTCAGCCGAAAATCTGGGTCTGAACGTGCAAATTGTGGCCGTCAGCGACTAGTCAATGTTAGGGCAGAACGGAGAGTGGCAAGACTGGTACAGGACAACAGAAGGGCAACAATGCAGTGTCAGATTCCTCGCATCACCTTTCAACATCTCGTGGAGTCACGAGGCGGCCCAACGAAGTCATCTTGTGAAGTCATCTCATGGCCCAACAAAGTACTGATGGGGTGGTCATAATAATCTGGCCACTCAGTGTATATGTATCCCAAACCACAATGTAAATGTACTTGGTCAATCACCAAGCCTCACGATGGCACATAGGAGAAAGGAGAGGAAGTAATGTGACCCTTTTTTACCCAGAAGTACCGAGTAAAGGAGCAAAAAAAAGTTAAGATGCTGCTAGGGAGAGCGGCATTAAAGTGAACCTGTAGCTTTGCCCTGCATGGAAAGAGCACAGTTTAGCTTTGAAATAAAACACAAAAATTAAAAACAGCAAGTATCCACCATTAAAAATCTTCCCCTTCGTGTTTACAAGCTGCTAGCTCTGGTCTTACACCTGCAGCTGAAAAGGATGGCTCGTTCAGCATTTTTATCACCCTAATGTCACGTAATAAGAAAATGTTAATATAACGATATTTGCAAAGTTGCCGACGCATGGATTACAGTTAATTAAGTCTGACTTCTTTTTCAAGGGATATCATTTTCTTTTACAAAGCACAATATGAAGGGTTGGCAAATTAATTCCGGGCACCAGGACCTAAACTACCAATTTACCGCATTTCAAGAACTCTTAACCTTTCCTGACATTTCCCTTTTACTCTGCTAAGCTATAAATAAGCCAGTCTTAAATCCTTATTTGCTGGAAGGATCAGACAGCGTCTGCATTGTCAACACATAAGTGTGCTCCAAAAGAGAAAGGGTTAATGAGGCAACAGTTCCTATTTGCTTTGTCACCGCTCTCAATGCACATGAGGGTCAGCATATCGATGAGGTGACTCTATACACACAAGCTGTTAAATATAACTTAAATAACCTCTATGTAGGCCAAGAGACAGTGTATTTTTAGTGATTCATAGACTACAACACACAGTCTGTTTAGGGAAGATACAAATGTCACGCCTGGGAGCCAGGGAAAATGGAGGGATACTGTACCAGAGTGCTATTTAACCCTTTGCTCCATTCGGATGTAGATGTGCTGCTTCCAGCATTTATTGCCTTAGTAATAGTCAGTAAGGGTTGCTGTCATGAATGTTCACTTGCTCACCCAGTGCCTAAGCTCAATGCAATTACCGAGCTGACAGTGCGGTGTGCGACCGGACTTTTTTTCTGTGAGTAACTGCTGATGCTGGAGCAAGATGGGCTCTGCCCGTGTGCATCCGCCATAATAGCACTGCTATGGAGGAGTGGTGAGATTGGGCTATGGAAGTTACCAGTAGTAGCTGCAGTATCTACACATCACTGGAGAAAATAAGCATAGAAATCTGTAGTAATCTCTATTGCAAAGTTGCTACTGTGACATGGTGTTTGGGCTAGAGATCCACTGGAAACTTGATGACATGATGGTTCAATCATCAATTACCTATGACTGTGCATGGCTGTGTGCAATTTTCCATTATTATTGTCCTGTAAATGGGGGAGAGTCCATCAGATAAGTTTTCAATTAAAACCAATCTAAGATGAGACTATATGAGGCAACTTGCAGTTGCCCAACCAAAAGAAAGGTTTGATTTCATTCAAACAAACTATTTTGTAATATTACTTGCTCTGAACCCTCTGTAGAGGGGGATTTTAAAATATTGGATTAAAAAAAATCCTGGATTCTCTAATATCAAAGCTGTAAATCTTCAGTTTATTTTCACACATTCCACCTTGATTGAGGTTCCACGCATGCTCCGCACACGCAGAGAGCCCCGTGCAAACACAACAAAAAGGACCTCAGGAATAATACTTAGAGAAGTATGAACGCTGTCATTGTTGGCCTTCTTCTAAAAATACTAGTTTCCTGATTTGTCTTTGGCTCCAATAATTCCTGACCCCCAACAAGCATGCAAATACGTTTGTGCTTCAGAAAAATTGAAGGCCGTTGCAGCAGCATAACAGCAAGGCAAATAGTATTTTGAAATCACTAGTGGCTGTGCCCATATTCTTTCAGTTTTCTTTAATATGACTGTAACTAGCAGGCATGCCCAGTGAAGTTTACAGCAACCTGAAAAAAGAAGCAGTGCCTGCAGGGAAACCTAAAGACTGTTGTGTTTGCAGAGAACCAGAATCAATGAAAACTGACTTTATGGAATCAGATATGCAAGTCTGAGTAATTATAAAATTAATCAAATACTATAAGCACATAGAGACACTTTTTATTCACTGGGATGTAATGGGTGTTTTCCTTTAAAAAAAAAGCCCTACAAGTCTCAGTACAATAAAGTTCCTGCAATCTGGTCAGTCCTAATAGGGATCACAATGGATCTATCTATGTGTTGTATCTGCCCAGGCCAAACTGTTCTTGTTATGCCGTATGGGTGACATCCTCTCTTTTCAACCACTACCTTCAATAAAGTCTAGAAATATTTATTTCCCTGCAATGGAAAATACTGTACCATCAAACAGATACAAGTCAGCAAAGCGTACTGTAGCTGTAGAGAAGACAGTGCATTAAACTTGTCTGCGCTCTGCTCTATTTCACTAGTAATATTTTACTGGAATACAGCATGGCTATTTTTAGCAAGCCATTAACAAGTGCGCAATGAAGAAACACATTAGAGCCAACGTCTCGTTGGATGCGGAATGCACGGCAATGTTTAGAGGGAGACATCAGAATATCAAGAGTAAACACAACCTCTGCAGCTGTGCCCCGCTGGAATGGAACAGAACATGGGGATTTTATTAACAAAAACTGTGCTTAGCTATGTATCTGTGCCAACGGCAACCAGAATCTGCTACTCATTTATTCAGTGACACTGAAAGAGAGAATCAGATCTGATTCTATGTCAAATGGCTATAGAATACACAAACAGTTCTCATTACAGACATTTTGATTAATAAAACCTGTTTTTGCAAATGGGAACAATGGATACATTAATACACCATGCCATATCATGTGTAATGTAGTAGTCATACTAATTGCCACAAAGTAATACAACAAATGATGAGTTAAAATCATCAAGCACTGCATTAGATTGCCCATTACCCAATATCCTGTACCACTGTACAAACTTGACAAGCATATGCTGTACAAACAAGCATATGCTTGGTTTATGCTTAGCCTGTGCTTCATGGAGTACCACACATTATGAAGGGTTTGCCAAGTTGGAAAAACAGCC